CATCATTATCTTTATCATTACTACTCTCAGCGTCACTGTTTTTGGTTTGTCCTTCTAATCATCATCTTCACCGCCATGATCATTGTCATCATTATGATATGCAGCAGGATTATCTACTGATGACCAGTATATCGACAACACTAATAATCACATTAATAATAATATCAAGTGCTGCTGATGCTTATATTGAATGAAATAATGATGAAAGTGAATAGCTAATAATGATACTGAGGAAAATGAATGCAAATTATAACAACAGTATATCCATTTCCTAAATCTATCACATTCGCCTTTATATCTATTTTGGGTTATTATAATTATTATCTCTTTATCGTCGGGATCTTAATTAGGGGCTTAGGAGATTATCTCTCTAATTCCTCCATTCATTTGAATTCCTCTTAACCTCTTCCTTCGCCCTTTCTCCTTCTCCCTTTGTCGTCTCTAGATTTTTCGTGCTGTTTTCTCTCATTCTCGTTCTCAGCAATTCTAGTTTTTCATATATATTTTTTTTCTTTTTTTTTCTTATCATTCGTTCTTCTCTTTCTCTCTTGTCTTTCTTTCGTTCATTTTTTTCTTTCTCATTGAATCTGTTTCTATTCTTCCTTTCTCTTACTATCTCTCTTTCCCTATTTCTCTTTCGTACAGTCTTTCGTTTCATTCTCTTTATCACTATTTATCTGTTCGTTTGTTTATTCTTCACTATTTCTCTTTTTTTCCCTCTTCCTCCCTCCGTCTCCTCCTCCTCCTCCCCCAACCGCTCGCCCTCCTCCCCCACCCCCTCCCTCCTCCCCCCTCTCCCAATCCTTTCATAGCACACATCATTCTTTATTCCTGTCTCTCCTTACCTTTTATCTTCGTCCGCGTTGATCTCTCTATACACCGTCTCCGAAAATAGAGGGAAGTGGCTCTCTGGTCTTCTCTCTCCTCCTCCTTTTCCTCCTCTTCCTCCATCATCATCATATCTTCCTCCTCCTCCTCCTTCACCACTACCTCCACCTCCACCTCCTCCTCCACCACCACCACCACTACCACCACCTCCTCCTCCTCCTTCCTCTTCTTCCCATCCTCCTCCTCTTCCTCCTCCCGTTCCTCCTCTTTCCCTTCCTTCCCGAATGATCGCCAGCTGCCTCGAGATCCATTCTCCTTCTTGCATGTTAAGGTACGTCGTCTTGCGTGACCTTTGGCGTCAGTGATCATCATTATTGCAATTGCTCTAATCACTATCTTCATTATCTTTATTATTATCTTTATCTTTATCTATTATCGTCAAATTATTATTGTCGCTAACATTACTATCGGTATTCGTATTCTTATTCTTTTTTTCTCTCCTTTTGTCACCAATGGTATCATTAAGATATAATGATCATTGTTATCATTATCATTACTATCATTGTCGTAACTGCTAGTTTAAAAACAGTGATAATAATAGTGATGATGATGATGAAGTCGATAGTAATAACAACAATAAAAATAAAAATGATAATAATAATGAAAATAATAATAACAATAATAATAGCAATATAGTAAAAGCAACCACAACAACAACAACAATGATAACAATACTGATAGTAGTAAAAATAACAATAATAATGACAGCATTATCATTATAATTACTGATATTACTATTGTGATAATAATCATCAATATGATTATCATGATCACTTCTATCATTTTTATCATTACTTGTATTATCATTATCATTATTCATTATCCATTTTGTAATTAAGAGAACACACTGAGAGAATGAAATCAGGCTTTTTTTTGCGCATATGCAAATATCTATCGATTTATCTCTCCATTTCTTCACTCTTCTTTCTATTTCTTAATCAAACTTTACATTTCTTTACTTATATTTCTTTATGCTATTATACTGGTAAAATGCATGTATTTTAAAATCTAATGACAATGTTATCTCTCACATCCTTCATGAATCCATATCCTTATAAAATGGAAACGTTGTTAAATCGTAGTATTTCGACTCTGATATATAACTTTTTATTGGAGATATTTGCGCAATGGAGATTACCTATCAAAAAAAAAAAAAAAAAAACAACAACAACTAAAAAAACAACATAAACAACAAACAAACAAACACAAAAGAAAAAGCAAATCCACTCCTGTGCTTGCTGCGTCACACAAAAGCACACGCGCGCGCAGCTTCAAAACGGCAGTCGCAAGAGCATCTTATCGCCAACAAATCAGTGATATCGGAAACACGTCCTTTTGCGCACACGGGACAAAACGCTGGCGAAGTATAAGGTCTGGTTGGAAATACTAATAAAGCACTTGCATTTTCATTACGTGTAAAATAGTACGAATGTTCTTTAGTTTCACGATATCATCTCAAATTGTTTGGAATTATATTACTGATCATGTCATTTAACATAATTATCATGTTACTTGTCACGTCTGTGGAGGGGACTGAGCCTACTTTCGTTGTTGCATGTCAAAGTAGTGCACGAAGATGCGATAAAATAAAAGTCATATATGTAGTATTATATCATATCATTATATATGTAGGTTTTGGCATGGATGCACCTTCCTACGTACATATCCTATTCTAAAGATGTGATTTGGAAGAATATGTTATTTCACATTTCGTAGAGATTTCCTTACAAGGTAATTTACGTAATATTCCCGCCGCAATATGATGTAAATTGAATAACATCATTCAACAATCGTAAGGAGAAGCTCAGAGCCTACAGCCTATACTGGGACGCGCGCTACTCAACGAGTGACCTGCACCGGGAGAAGGTCACGTGAGGCGTTTCCGGAAAGTGCTCGTCGGCCTTTATCGTCGTTGAGATGCGCGTGTAATTGTTCCCGGCGCCTTGACAAACAAAAGGTTGATGTCTACATGTACGCCCTTTGGAGAAGCGCAAGGAAACGAAGTGCAAATGGGTGTGAGTAATCTATTTCTCTTTCGACGCAAAAAAAGAAAGAAAGAAAAAAAAAAAAAAAACAGTCATAAGCGTACATAAACACGAGTGTACATGGACCAACACAAACGACCAACCAGACAGAAAGGCTGTACTCCCACACCCACGCGCAAACACACACACACTGAATGCGCAAAAACGTGGAACTAAATGTGCAAAATAGTTTTCCTGTCGCCATGACAAAAGGCTCGAACACAAAATTCGCGTACCCCCTCCCCCTCCCTGCCTAACCCCCTTCACCCCTTCCCCCTACTCCCTTCGCCAACTCCCCTCCCTCCCTTTCCCTCCCCCATGCTTCTCCTTCCCTTCCCCCATCCCCTCACTCCCTCTGTCCTCTCCCTTCCTCATACCCCATCCCTCTCCCTCCCTTTCCTTCTTCTCCTCTTTCCTCATCCTTCTACCCTTCCTCCATCCTCTCTTTTCCCTCCCTTTACCTGTACTCCCCCTTTCCTTTCCATTCTCTCTATCCACTCTCCGCTCTCCTCTTCTTCCTATCCCCTTCTTACCCCCTCCATTCCCCCTCCTCCTCCTACCCTCCCCACGCGCTATCACCAAATATTTTTTTATCGTTTTCTTCCTCTTCCTCTTTTATCACCCATTATACCCTCTCTTAACCTCCTTCCTTTCCTCTCTTTTTCTCCTCTCATTATTTTCCTTCGCCATTTCTTTTAATTAAATCTTCCCCTTCTTTTCTTCACACTTTCTCCCATCTCTTTTCATTTATCCCTTCCCTTCCACCTCTCTTCCGTCCCGACCTCCCGCCCCGTCCAGCGACCTTCCGACATAAAGCTGCAATGAGAAGGCGTATCAGTCTTTCGTAATTTCATTAATGGTGTGTGTGTGTGTGTGTGTGTGTGTGTGTGTGTGTGTGTGTGTGTGTGTGTGTGTGTGTGTGGTGTGTGTGTGTGTGTGTGTGGTGTGTGTGTGTGTGTAAGTGTGTTGTGTGTGTGCGTGTGCGTGTGTGTGGTGTGTGTGTGTGTGCGTGTGTGTGTGCGTGTGGTGTGTGTGTGTGTGTGGTGTTGTGGTGTGTGTGTGTGTGCGTGCGTGTGTGTGGTGTGTGTGTGTGTGTGTGTGTGTGTGTGTGTGTGTGTGTGTGGTGTGTGTGTGTGTGTGTGTGTGGTGTGTGTGTGTGTGTGTGTGTGTGTGTGTGTGTGTGTGTTGTGTGTGTGTGAGTGTGTGTGTGTGTGTGTGTGTGTGTGTGTGTGTGTGTGTGTGTGTGTGTGTGTGTGTGTGTGTGTGTGTGTGTGTGTGTGTGTGTGTGTGTGTGTGTGTGTTTGTGTGTGTGGTGTGTGTGTGTGTGTGTGTGTGTGTGAGTGAGTGAGTGTGTGTGTGTGAGTGGTGTGTGTGTGTGTGTGTGTGTGTGTGTGTGTGTGTGTGTGTGTGTGTGTGTGTGTGTGTGTGTGTGTGTGTGTGTGGTGTGTGTGTGTGTGTGTGTGTGTGTGTGTGTGTGTGTGTGTGTGTGTGTGTGTGTGTGTGTGTGTGTGTGTGTGTGTGTGTGTGTGTGTGTGTGTGTGTGTGTGTGTGTGTGTGTGTGTGTGTGTGTGTGTGTGTGTGTGTGTGTGTGTGTGTGTGTGTGAGTGTGTGTGTGTGTGTGTAGTGTGTGAGAGTGTGTTTGTGAGAGTGTGTATGTTGTGTGTGTGTGTGTGTGTGTGTGTGTGTGTGTGTGTGTGTGTTGTGTGTGTGTGTGTGTGTGTGTGTGTGTGTGTGTGTGTGTGTATTATATATATATATTATATAATCATATATATATATATATATATATATATATATATATATATATATATATATATATATATATATATATATATATAATCTGTACGTCCACGAAGTTTAAGATGAATAGGGATAAAAAGTCGTTTCCTCTGGGCCAGTCCCTCTTTGCGACTCGAAATGACCGGCATTGATTCGACTCCTGCGGCGGCCGCGCCTCCTCCCCCCTCCGTCGGGGCGACCGAGGGCATCGCATCCGAGGCCAGCGGTCCCCCGTCGCGAGCGAGCGGTTTTTTAGGTCAAATACATATGCAGTAATACTGATGAGTTCATGTCGACCTCGTTTCTTCCGTCCGAGCCTCCAGCAAAGGCCTCACCTTCCACCATGAACACTTCATGTCCGCCAACACTCCGTCCTTCGCGACCAAAGCACATCTCCTCCCCTCAGGTGTCCACACTCTCCCTCAGCCCGCGTCCTCTCCACCAAGCCTTCACCATCACCTCCAAAACACCCAACTTTCCCGCCAAAAACCGCCTCATTTCCCGCCAAACCCGCCACCTAATTCCCCGCCCCGCTAGACCCTCGCCGCCCACCACCGCCTCAGCCACGCTCCTTACCTGAAGTCCTTGTCGAATCTCTGGATGTGTATCTTCTCCGCCGTCTTATTCTGGAAGCAGGACTCTCCTGAGACGCCCTGCTTCTTGGTCATGGACCCCTGGCCGGCCATGGAGTGCTGCTCGTGGAGGGTGGCCAGGAGGTCGCCATGCTCGTGGAACCGAACCGCCTGCTGCTGGAGGACGCTCTGCGGGGAGAGGGGCGCGTGAGACTCATGGCCAGTAATCTTTCTCTTCATCTTGATGAGAGAGACCTAAATAATGATATATTTCTTTGGTAACATCATTGTCTTATTGATTTCAGCATAGTAATTAAGGTCTTGGAACACGTTTTATCATACTATTTAGCATTAATAAGCATTATGCTATCCATCTAATAACAGAGATAATACTGACTAAAAATTATGATAATGAGAGATATATAAAATATAGATCGCGGTTCGCGAGGGACTGTCTCGGCAGCGGTGAGAAAGGGAGAGGGGGGGGGGCTCCATCTCTTGAACCACACCTGTTGCTTGCGCCCCTCCCCCTCCCCTCCCCCTCCCTCCTCTCTCCTTCCCTTCTGACTGTCATGGTTCTATTCTTTCTGTTTTTCACTTGTAACTGCATAAAACATGTTCTCAATGGCTTTTGACTTTGCTAAACACATATATCATATATATACATATATAAGTATATATATATATATATATATATATATATATATATATATATATATATGTATATTTAAAGCACATACATACATATAAACGTTTGTGTATCTGTGTTTGTGTGTGTGTAAACATGTATTATGTACATCCCTATATATATCTATCTATATACTTATCTATATCCATATACACACATTCATATATAATTATATCACATACTATATATACATACATACATATACTGTATATGTGTGTGTGTGTGGTGTGTGTGTGTGTGTGTGTGTGTGTGTGTGTGTGTGTGTGTGTGTGTGTGTGTGTGTGTGTGTGTGTGTGTGTGTGTGTGTTGTGTGTGCATATATATATATATATATATATATATATATATATATATATATATATATATATATATATATATATATATATAATATATATATATATATATATATATATATATATATATATATATATATATATATATATATGCACACACACCCACACACATATATTCTGAAGAAAGGTGATGAGGAAGAATGAAAGAACAGACAGATAGACAAGAAGATAGATAGGCCGCGCGCGAGACAGCGTCGGATTCCCTCCCGAGGCGCCGCTTCATTCCAATTACTTGGCGTGTCCTTATCTCCTCCTGCAACTACCCGAGCCTCATATTTCACCCAACGATTGTCATTAACATAAAATTCTCCCGAACAATGTTGATATTACTCGAAATTTTCATGAATATTAAGTCTTTTTTTGCGCGTCGTACAAAACTCCGTTTCTGGTTATCGATTCTCTCTCTCTCTCTCTTTCCCTATTTCTCTCTCACTCTTTCCCTATCTCTGTCTTCTCTCTCTCTTTGTCTCTCTTTCCTCTTTCTCTCTCTCTCTCTTCCCTAT